GGAGCTACAGACAGGTCCCGAAATCAGCTGCAGCTTCTCTTGCCCCGGGAAAGGAGGTAGCAGAGTCCTGGGTCCCCGGCCGCCGAAGGAGAGGCGGTTTCGGTCGGGGTTTCTTTTAATCCCTATATAAAATATGGCACCGTGTTTGGCTGTAAAATGTCAGCACCTTGCAGCTGATCTCAACCTTTGTGAAAGACACTGCTACATATTAACAGTTAAAAGAAAAACAGACAAAGCTGGTAGGAATTAAAGTGCGTGTGGGTCATGGTGTGTTTGTGTATGTGGAAGGGAGAGGGAGACGTGTTTGGTTTGGCATCGGGCGTACGGATCCTGATCTGCCAGCTTGTGTGTGTTCCCTTTACATACATCTCCCATACATCATGTTACACACAGAGATCATAGGCTTCTCAGCGCCGGCCAAGAATTTATCGTGTTTTGCTTTCCAATGCTCTGAGAATTTTTATTTGTTTGTTTATTAGCTTTTTCTTAATCGAGTTTCGAAGAAACGGACTCTATAAAAGAATTTTCTAAAAAAGAAAATAAATAATATGTTGACTGAGGCGCACAAAGTATCAATGAGCAAAATATAATCTGGATGTCTCTGACGTGTGTGAACCCAGTATGAATATAATTTTTAAGTGAAATATTTGTAAGGAATGTTTTTATAAAAATCAAATTAAATGAGCTGGATGCCAGAGCCTGCACGTATCTCAGTGAATGTGCAATAACGGGAATAAGTAGGATACTACAGGAAATCGCCCAGAAATTAATGGCATGCTGCATTCGGTTTTTGTGGAAAGAAGGCGATCGTGACTCCTTGGCAGGCGAGACCTTATTTGATTGGAATATCGGCAGATCCTTTTGATTCATCTGCATTGGATTCAAACCCAACTTTTCAATGAAATTTCTCTTTTTTTTTTTTCCCCTGAAATGTGAATTGCACGTGCAGAATATCGCGCTCGTGGTGCTTCCCCAGCCCCGGTACCGTCATCCCCGCCACGGGCAGTTACCGTCGCCGCGAGGAGACCCCACGTCGCGCGGGGAACCTCGCGGGCATTTGCTTAAGTCAGAGCATCCCTCGTGATTTTAGCTGCTCTTCTTCGGCAGAATCTTAAAGGGAGGAGATATACTGAGCTGGTTGGACGCAGATCCAGCCTTTAATTAGATTAATTACGTAATATAACATCAGAATGGCGGGGAGCGTGTTGTCGTAAAACTTCGATCTCAAGGAATTGGTCCTTCCGCCCGAAATACTGTAATTAGATGGATCCCTTACAACATCGCGCTTCTTGCAGACAGATTGTCCCTACCTTAGAGGCGCCAGGCTGCTGCCTGTGCCCCTACCGCAGCTCTGCCCCGCGATGTGCGGCCGCTTGCACGACAGACCTCTTATTCCTCTTTTCCTCCTATTCCTCCTATTCCTCCTATTCCCCCTATTTCCTTAGCTCGGCTCTGCCGACGGAGGCTGTGCTGCTGGGGGCAGTTTGTGTGAGCCTGGCCGGGACCCCTGCGGTTCCCAGGTCACCCCAATGCTCCGATGTGACCCTGCGCTGCTCCATCCCGCCCTGCTCGGGCCGCTTCCCTCCCCATCTGTGCCGGTCGTGTCCTTTGCCGTCCCCCCCGCGGTGTCCTCCAACCTGTCTGCCCCCCCCCCCCCCCAACCCTGCACTGCCGAGCCCGCCTCTGATCTCCTGGATATTTGGTTTCTTTCCCTTTCTCAATGTGTGTTCCTGATGTGGTCCTGTCGGAAAAGCTCGTTTACTCTACCCGGGTCTCTAGTGGTTTAAGGATAATGTTTATCAGAAGTGAACGTGCTCAACTTGTTTCCATTCAACTGCTGAGTGTGGGCTGAAATACCAAAGGTCACATCTACAGTGAGTCGGTAGAGGGCAGGGGGAGCCGAGAGGAATATGAAAACATTATAATATACAACAGCCTCTTGATCGCTCGTGACCCGCCTGGCAAAGAGCATTTTTTTCAGGTATGGAATAATTAAAGAACTGAAGGGGAAGGGTGGGGGAGTGAGGGAAGATTGGAAGAGGGTGCGGGGGCTGCGGAGCAACGGGTGCCCCCCCGGAGGGGCCACGCGTGGCCGGGCAGGGCAGGGAGGGTCCCTAAATGCGGATGCCTCGCATATCCACCGCGGGCTTCCCCAGGGCTTCGCAGAGTAAAGCGGCGGGGGATGCTAAAGAGCCTGGGGCCACCTGCGAGCCCGGGTCCCGCACCCCGCTTCTGCTCCTGCACGGAGGGGTGTCCAAGAGAGGGGCTGGCCACGCTCCCCCGGGCGGCTCGCCCCGGGGCCTCTCTTTCCCTTCGCGGTCTCTCCTCCCGCGGCTGCTGCACCCTTCGMGGGGCAGGAAAAAGGGGAGCAAGCGGCTGCACCTGGCCGCTCTCTGAACTGGGCTCTCTCGCTGCTTTTCCGCCCAGAAATGTAGTCGGAGCGCATTTTCGGCAGGGAATCRCGGGCGCCGCCGGTAGTAGCCGTTCGGTTCCCTCCCCTCCGCGGCCCCAGCCGCCCCCTCCGCGCCCGGGCAGAGGCTCTGGGGCAGCCCCGCTCCCCGCAGGGGCGCCCCGAGGCCACGGGGGTGGCCGCCTTCCCCGCTCCGCGCAGCCGCCGTGCCCGCAGGCCCGGGGCGCTCACCTCGGCTCTCCTTCCGCGCACAGCTCCCGCCTCCGCGCATCGCCCCCGGAGAGCTGCCCTTGCGCAAGGGGCTGCTCCCGGCCCCGCGGAGGCTCCGCTGGGTTCGCSCCTCCACGGAGCTGCAGTTTCCTCTGCTTTCCCGCCGAAGGAAGGAATGAGCCAAAATAAAACGTGACCCCCCTCCCACCTCCTTTCCCAGCCCCTCTTTGAAGCTGCTGGGTTTTAATGATTCTTTGGGTTTTTTCTTTTCCTTTCTTTTCTTTTTTTTTTTCTTTTTTTTTTTTTTTTTAAGTAAACTCTCCCTCTTCTTTCCCCCTCCTTCCTCTGCTTAATAGCCAAAGAGCTATTAAGGCAGAAGGATCCTCATACGGCGAATACGACGAGATACTTTTTGCAAGTACAAAAGCCTCCCTGTGCCCCTTCCTGAAGGCCGAGGAGCCCTGCACGGGTGCCAGGATTTCCCAGGGTGATATGGCAGAGATGCAGCCCCTGCGCGGCCGCGGCGGGACGAGGAKGAGCGCGGAGCGGCACCGTGCAGAGCCCTGGGGACAACCCGGAGGGCAAAGAGAGACTTGGGGCAAGGTGGGAGGATGTCACAGACCTTGGGGGCAGCTCTGAAGAAAAGGCAAGGACAAGTGGGCAGAGGCAGGTGGAGGAGCAGCGGCCCAAGCAGGGCTGCTATAGCACAGGGGATGAAATAGGGCTTTTGTTTCGCGAAGAGCGATTCCGATTCTAACACGCTGCAAGATCCCGCGGCACCTCCCGGGATCGCTCGTGTTTTCTGCGGGATGTGAGAGAAACTAAATGCAAGGACAGGGGCGTTCGCGGCTGCCATGCCCCTGTCCSCATGAGACACAAAAGCGCAGCTTGGAGGGACAGTGAAAGGACGAGGGCGGCTGCTGAGCGCCGGGGGGCACCCGCAAGGACCCCTGCGCTCGCCAGTGAAGCGGGATTGGGGCTCCCTCCGTGCCTCCCGCAGAGCCGGCTACCTCCAAAATGCCCGATTCCCGGCTCTCAGGTGCCTTAATCCCTCTGTGCAGCGGCGGACAAGCTSGCTTAGAAATGTCCCTGGAGGAGAGGGAAATTTTCCCCGAGGAGCGGCCCCCTCCGCCTGTGTGTGGCTGCAGACAGGAACCGCCGCCGTCCCACAGCTTCTGGGCGACCGCCGGCTCCCTCCCCAGCAGTCTCAATTTTCCATCTATCACTCTTCCTTCGGGGAGCGGTGGGAAGTTTCCTGAGAATGGTACCAGGACTCGTTATCGATCCTTCCCTGGTAGATATTGTGTCCCTTTTCTGATATTCCATTCCTCTACCCCGTCTTTTAGCTCGCTGAAAAGCAAACGCCCGGACGTTTGTGCTCACAGACACTGCCTGCAAAAGTATGTGCGAGTCCCGGCGGGGAGATATTTTACATTAATTCAACGAATATAATATTCAAGCGAGCATGGAAATACTTGCAACAACTCTGAAAGAGCTTTAGATTTTGTCCTGTCCTTTAGCTGTCCTGGGAGGGAGGAGAACGTGGTGTGTGTGTGTATTTCAGTTTTCGGAATTCAGTTTGCCGTCAGGGACAGAAGGGAGTGTGGAAGTATAATAGGATGAAGTTTTGTTTTTCAGAGATTTATCCGATAAAAAGCAAGTTCTGTTTCAGTCGCCAGAAAACAGTCTTGCAACTTCGAGTTTTCTCGGCCTCCAGGATGGAGCGACCTTGTTTCACCCGTGTCCGGACAGCGGCTCCGCGGAGCTGCGCGCGCGGCTGCGCTGCGCTGCGCGCAAGGCCGGGCCCTGCGCGGCCGCCCCGCGCCCGCTGAGCCGCAGCGCCGYAGAGCACCCACCCCGATGAGGCCGCGGGAGAAGAGGGGCCCGAGAAGCCCTTTCCCGGGAGAGTCGCGGGATAKGAGGCGTATTCGTGTCTGCCCAGGAGTGAGATGACAGACAAACTGACCCTCTCTCCTAAATCATCTTCAGTGAAGGCCCGAGCAGGCTCCTGCAGCACCCACCCTGCAGACACGCGAACAGGTGAAATAAATATCCCGAATTGCCCCAAAGGAGGGAGCCACGTCCCCGTGGACGCCGTCACCCCCCAGCCTGGGCGGCCCCTCCTGCCTCTCCATCCCCACGCGGGCTCCCAGCCGCGGGGCTCCCTCCCGCTGCCCGCACCTTCCCGAGCTGGGATATTCAGATCGAGCTGGAGAGGACTGGGCGGTTTCTTAATGATGTGTTAGTTGCTTGGGCAGGTTTAATAACTTAGCCGCCACTTGTTCTTAGCAACCCCTCTGGAAACCAGACAGTGTCTCATTAGGGCTTTCCTGGTGCAAACATTTGACTTGAAGGAGAGGGACTGAGTTAATTTCTCTTTGCACTAGGATTTGCTTAATGACATGTAGGGAAATAGACAATTCTCAGGAACCAGGCCATAAAGCTACAGAGGGCCAGATTTTAAAAGCATATTTTGTTCTAATAAAGCAATCGGGTTTTCATTTGTCACATGCTACATGAATTTAGAGTAAATGAAAAAAATACCTCTATTGTTCTGCATCAAATTATAGGAACCAATTGGGAATTTCTAGGCAATTTTCTCCATCTCTGCGTTTCCCTCCACAACACCTAGTACCAGTGCCACCTACAGGAATACTTGGTTTTTGAGCTGTGCTCCAGGAACCAGAAGCGTTTGAGAGTGTCCTCTAGCACTGTCGCCTATCGCGAGACACAGCACAAGCAGGTGGCTCTCCTGCACTCTCAGGTGGCTCCGCTTCTGCACTCGACTTTGCATCTGCTAATCCCTTCTCATGGTTTACCTGACCCTGGAAATATTTGTCGTGCGATGTTGGCCAGCCTCACTCGTCAGGTTTAAAAGTGCTCTTCCCCCCTCCCCACTAGATCCTCATTCTGTATAGTTTTTCTTCGCCTATGCATATTCTATATATTCTATACGTGTATATTCCCTTTTTCATATGCACATATATATATGTGCATTCACGCACTCCTCTTGCAAGGTAAGCCGAGATGAGCAYGCAGGTCGGGAGAAACTGTTCACGTGTCTGCAGGGGAAAGCAGGAGGTTGTCCCGGTGGAAATATCTGGGAAGGTGGAAATACCAGAGAGGGCTCTTGGGCACCAGGCAGAGTCTGTGATGGGTGTTTGCAGAGGAAAAGGCCGTTAGCATCTCCCCAAAAGCGCTTCTCCCCCTTGCATTAGAAAATTGCATAATCCAGAGTTCCTTTTTCCTGACACTTAGGGAAAAGGGGAATGCTAGCAGGTTTTTTGTTTGCTTGCTTTTAATTACTATTTTTTTTTTAAGAAGGATAAGCTTTTATCCTACACCAAAAGGTTTCTTCCTCTTKATAATCCTTAACAGCCTACAGAAGACTCGTTCGTTCGCTATTCGAGAGATTCGTTTCGTTGTGAGAAAACAAACACGCGGAGAGCAAACCGAGCTCGTCCTGGTCGCCGCACCGTGTCCCGCTGCCTCGTGCGCGGTTGTCGCTGCGCTCCGCGAGGCACCGCGGGGCACCCCGTGTCGCGGTGAGCGACATTATTAATGCGCACGATAAGAAGTTATTTGCGACGTGAAATAGCAAGGACGTAACAGACCGTGGAATTCACTATCGTTGCCTGTTTTCTTTAAGGAAACAGGACAGGATAAAATAAAATAAAATAAAATAAAATAAAATAAAATAAAATAAAATAAAATAAAATAAAATAAAATAAAATAAAATAAAATAAAATAAAATAAANAAATAAAATAAAATAAAATAAAATAAAATAAAATAAAATAAAATAAAATAAAATAAAATAAAATAAAATAAAATAAAATAAAATAAAATAAAATATCCTAGTTTTAAACTTCTGCGGTGAAATTCATCTCTTTTTACACTTTGGGCATTGTGCGGCAGCCAGGACTGCCAGATTTTGAAACTAAAGTGTCTTTTTTTCCCCCCTCTCCTGCCGTGCCATGCAGCTCTGTCCAAATGCAACCAGCCTCAGTAACCTGCTGCTGCTGACGCTGCTGCTGCAGGCGGGACGGTCGGGACAGGCGGGTGGGCGATGGGGGCACCGAACTGGATGTGGTCCCGTTGCGGAGCCCGGTGGTCCAGAGCGCAGGTTGCGGCGGCCAGGACTCGCCCCGGGCCAGCTCAAATTCCTTTGCAAAATATTTTCCTTCTTCAGTTGCATCAACTGCACTAATTTGGGGCAATAAACCCACTCAGAGCAATTACAGCGTTGAGACGTTGCAAAGTTTAATGCACAGCAGTACGTTAAATATGCGGGTTTTTTTTCCACTGCAGAATGACCGTATCTTAGGGGACGGAAGCACTCGGTGCCTCCAGCTAGCGATCCTGCCGTGTTTTACACTGAAATTTGTGTCCGTGTTTGGCTTGTTACAGAGAGATTCCGCATGTCCCGCGAGGGCTCTCCAGGGCGCCCGAGAGGAGAGGGGTGATCCCAGTGCGGCCCAGTCAATGGGACTACCCGAACTTTTAGTTATCTCTCGCCTCATCCAACGTAAGTGACCGCGRGCAGAGGCAGAGCTGCCGCCACCGCCGGTACACGGGTCAGTGCGGGCTTCTTGCGGCGTCGGACAGCGACATTTCAGTTCGCCTTCGTTTTCATGTGTGTTTTCTGACGCGGCAGCAAAAGATAAATCAGAGACCTTGTCTCCGGGGCCGACCTTCTCAGTCCCTGTCTCAGTCCCGCTCCAGTTCCCCGCAAACGAGAACATCCCCGACGGCATCCCAGGGGAAAGTCGGATGGGGCCTCTGTCGGGGCCGACGCAGCCTTTCCACTCCGGTCCCTGCACGGGGG